GTACACAACTACCACAATCTTCTTCTCACAGCATATGTAAAGACTCACGAGTGATAACTATTGCAATTTGAGTTGCAATTGCTAAGTTTCTTAGTAAAACTAACTATTTAGTTCCTTTTACTTGGATATAGCTATTTTTAATTAATAATTTGCAATTGCTCAGTTTTGCTTGTGTGATTTGTGGATGTATGTTTTCAGTGTATTGGTTGATTTGGTTGAAGGAAGCATAGTTCGAATTAGTTATAAGAAATTAAACTTTTTTCATACTTACCAAGCGTTTGATGTTTTTCCTAAGTAAAATTGCCTACAGGGGAACAATATTTAAGCAAGCTTCAGGAAGATTTTGTTCCTTTTTCACAAAATTCCTATGTTTTTGATGTATTTCCTAACTTATGGCATCGATGGGGCATTCTTTGTTGGCTTGGACAACTCTATTTGCTAACATTGAGTCTAGATATCATCTTGATTGCAGATACGTAACTTGCATCCATAGCATCAAAAGATTGAATTCTTGCCTTTTCTTGTCATTTTTTAGCTTGTTTGCTATGTAGGCGATTGATTTCTAGTTAGTTGAGCAACCTATAAACCCTTAGACCGATGATATATAGACTGAGAATGGGACTAAGATATGAAATTCAAAAAAGCTAGCGTTTCATTGTTTAGGAAACCCCATTCAAGGAGTTCGCCATGGAACGGTGACAACTAGAAGAAAAATAGAAGGGGAACATCAAGATTCAAGAATTGCTCTTTTTTTTCTTTTCTTTTTTTTCAAGAAAATTGTCTTGTACCATTTTCACAAGAAAATTGCCTTGTATTATATATAATTTTTTTAAGAATTGCAACGTATCTTAGAATATTGTTTATTATTAATACAAATTCATCTTTCTAATAAAAAAGTGTTATTTTGGTATAAATTTAACTCTTAAAACATATTATCATCTAAATATGAGTAATTAATGCAAGTTTTATATAAAATTATTTTGGAACGCAAAATGTATATTTCAATTTTTATATAATCATCTAATATACCAAAATACTATCATATGATATACAAAATGACTCCCATATTTTATCCACATTTTTAATGATTATTCTTTGTCAATGCTTTATAACTGTTTGCAACTTGTTGATACAAGAATACATATGCTTGTTAAGAGAATGAGTAACATCTTATCAAATCTCAAAAGCCAACTCATCAATTGTCAAAATAGAATTGAAATGTTGGGTTATTTGATTTGAAGGAGTCAAAATGGGATTGAAATCTTGAAAATTTGCAGTCAAAACAGGATTAACATCTTGAAGTATTTTTGTAAAGGTTGTATACAGATAAAAAGACATATTGTGAACTAATACCCTGTGCATGAAGATGAAGCTATGTGTAAATAAATTAAATAAGATTACATAAAATCAGACTATAAAGACCGACAAGTACCTAATTATAAAGATCGACACCTAATGATGCTTCAATATTGGTACTCCATACTTAATTTGCTTAATTAGAAAAAAAAAAAAAAGAATATGTTAGTTGTATTAAATTTATCAATATTATACAATAGTAGAATTCTACTCATTATACTTGCAACATGATGCATTTGCAACTAATAATCAATCAAAAAAGCATCTTAATTCCTACTAAACTCTTTAGGTTGTAGATTTTGAAGTGCAAAATTTTGCTAGATTTCAATAGCTATTTCTCTCATCTTTGGCACCATATTAGATGTTTTTGCGCCTTTTGTCTTCTTCGTCTTCTTCTTCATTTATTTTTTTTGTAATTGGCTTTTGATTCTAGCATTAGTCAATCCTTTTTTTCTGACACGTCAAGGATCAAATACCACTTGGTTATCATTTACATGCATTTCTATTGCAGCAACTTCAGTTGAGCTTTCTAAGCTTTTTCAATCAACTCCAAAGTCTCCATTAATTTCATCTTTACAATTTTAGTCCCCTCAGTGGTGAGTGAACCTTTATTAGAAACATTGTGGCCAAGATGGTTCAACTTACTAAAATGTAAAAGGGGAGCAGATTTTTCATTATCACAACTTGAATCAACCAATTCATAAACAACCCCCTTTTTTACATTCTTTGTCCATCTTTGCATGATATATTGAACTAGTATCTCGTTCACATTATTCACAACAAGTATGCTTAAAGCATGGCAACGTAACAACCCTAAAGTCTCAAATAATTTGCAAGTACAAGAGATACTAAATTCAAATTTAACAAACTCCACTTTCAATACTCTTTTTGAACATGGCTTGTCAAGTTC